AAAAAAAAATTACCGGTGTTTTCAAAGGCTTCATAACTTTCTCTATGGGGCGTCGGCTTTATGAGTTTACCCTGGAAATTATAGAGATGGAGTGGCGGCGCATTGGTAGGCACGCTGAGCTGCGAATATAGGGATTCCTGGCCGCAGCTAACATCAGTGGCAGGTGATAACATGGCCCAGTCCTGGATGCCATTTACAGTGAGGGAAAAAAGTATTTGATCCCCTGCTGATTTTGTACGTTTGCCCACTGACAAAGAAATGATCAGTCTATAAGTTTAATGGTAGGTTTATTTGAACAGTGAGAGACAGAATATTAACAACAAAATCCAGAAAAACGCATGTCAAAAGTGTTATAAATTGATTTGCATTTTAATGAGGGAAATAAGTATTTGACCCTCTCTCAATCAAACATATTTCTGGCTCCCAGGTGTCTTTTATACAGGTAACGAGCTGAGATTAGGAGCACACTCTTAAACGGAGTGCTCCTAATCTCAGCTTGTTACCTGTATAAAAGACACCTGTCCACAGAAGCAATCAATCAATCAGATTCCAAACTCTCCACCATGGCCAGGACCAAAGAGCTCTCCAAGGTGTCAGGGACAAGATTGTAGACCTACACAAGGTTGGAATGGGCTACAATACCATTGCCAAGCAGCTTGGTGAGAAGGTGACAACAGTTGGTGCGATTATTCGCAAAGGGAAGAAACACAAAAGAACTGTCAATCTCCCTCGGCCTGGGGCTCCATGCAAGATCTCACCTCGTGGAGTTGCAATGATTATGAGAACGGTGAGGAATCAGCCCAGAACTACACGGGAGGATCTTGTCAATGATCTCAAGGCAGCTGGGACCATAGTCACCAAGAAAACAATTGGTAACACACTACGCCGTAAAGGACTGAAATCCTGCAGCGCCCGCAAGGTCCCCCTGCTCAAGAAAGCACATATACATGCCCGTCTGAAGTTTTCCAATGAACATCTGAATGATTCAGAGGACAACTGGGTGAAAGTGTTGTGGTCAGATGAGACCAAAATGGAGCTCTTTGGCATCAACTCAACTCGCCATGTTTGGAGGAGTAGGAATGCTGCCTATGACCCCAAGAACACCATCCCCACCGTCAAACATGGAGGTGGAAACATTATGCTTTGGGGGTGTTTTTCTGCTAAGGGGACATGACAACTTCACCGCATTAAAGGGACGATGGACGGGGCCATGTACCGTGAAATCTTGGGTGAGAACCTTCTTCCCTCAGCCAGGGCATTGAAAATAGGTCGTGGATGGGTATTCCAGCATGACAATGACCCAAAACACACAGCCAAGGCAACAAAGGAGTGGCTCAAGAAGAAGCACATAAGGTCCTGGAGTGGCCTAGCCAGTCTCCAGACCTTAATCCCATAGAAAATCTGTGGAGGGAGCTGAAGGTTCGAGTTGCCAAACGTCAGCCTCGAAAGCTTAATGACTTGGAGAAGATCTGCAAAGAGGAGTGGGACAAAATCCCTCCTGAGATGTGTGCAAACCTGGTGGCCAACTACAAGAAACGTCTGACCTCTGTGATTGCCAACAAGGGTTTTTGCCACCAAGTACTAAGTCACGTTTTGCAGAGGGGGTCAAATACTTATTTCCCTCATTAAAATGCAAATCAATTTATAACATTTTTGACATGCGTTTTTCTGGATTTTTGTTTTTGTGATTCTGTCTTTCACTGTTTAAATAAACCTACCATTAAAAGTATAGGCTGATCATTTCTTTGTCAGTGGGCAAACGTACAAAATCAGTAGGGGATCAAATACTTTTTTCCCCTCACTGTAACCCTTCTCCCACTTGCACTGACCAGTGTGGTGAAGTATGGTCACACAACCCCCACGACTGATGCAGGCATGGGGAGGCCTTCATCCACCAGTGGATTGGCAAGGGACCATAAAAATTATATTTGAAATAAAAATGACAAATTATCTTTTTCAAATGGCATCGTTGGGCTGCACAAATGTGCCGCTCTCTCTCTCTCATGTATAACAACTGCACCCGCAGCATCAGCGACTTGACGAAGCTGTGACGCAAAATATTGTCGGACACACTGCGTCTTCTTCCTCTATTCCCTTTGGCCTTTGCCAATGGGGGCATGACCGTTCCCTCAACCGATATCTTCCCACCGCGGTCTCTCCACTGCTCTCCACTTCTCTCCGCTTCTCTCTGACCGTCGCTGCATCGTTCAACTGAGACGGCTTCCGTCCCGTCCAGTGTTTTATGTTTGACGTCCAATCAGATCGTGGTCTTCCTCTATCCCTAGCAGTGTTCCCCCCATCACCGTCGCTTGCCAGCGGGCCACCGCTCACCCTGGTGTCTGAATTATTGGACCATATCTTTGAATGAAAAAAAAACATTGGTCGTGATGCATTATCAAAACACTCTTATGGAATTTCGCTTCATCAAGGAGTCTTCGGCTACCACTGAAGCTCCCAGCCATTTCAAAGGATCCGTAACCTTCTCTGTGGGGCACGGGCTTTACAGGTTTACATCGGAAATTAAAGGGACGGAGGCGGTGGCATATTGGCTCGCGCACTGCCGACCTGAATTCGATTCCCTGCCACAGCTGACATCAGTAGCCCCGCTGGGAAATGCCCTCGGCGAGGCCACAGCAGCGAAGCCAAAACCCTTCGCGCGTCTCAATAACTCAACTTTACACGGGTTGTTGCCATGCACTTATGTCCATATGGTGGCAGCGGCATCGGCGGTGGCGATACCTTATTTCCACGTGGCCCTCTCCGCCGTGGCAGCCAACACGGCCCAGGTTTCCCAAAAAGCTCACCCATGTGTCCGGCCAGCGAACGGCGGCATGTGGTTTTGGACTGCCACGGCGTTTCGCCCGGCTCGCACGTGGTGCGCTGCCCTCGCGTCTCTGGGCAGGCTGCAGGCATGTGGCCGGGGTAATTGCTTCCACTGAACGCTGTTTGGCCGTCTGAATGGAGTGGGAGGCGCTGCGGTTAGGCCGGCGGGGTGGGCCGGTGGGGGGGGTGGGGGGTGCAGGAGGGGCTCTGTGGCATGCGGGGAAGGCGGTGGGGAGGAGGAGGAGGAGGGCAGCGTGAGTGGTTCTCACAGTCGTCTCATTTTTTTTGGCTCGGCCAGTTGGGTGCTAATTAACCTCACCTCCTTTAAAAAAAAAGGGGGGGGGAGAGGGGAGGGGGGCCCTCTGAGTAAAAAAATCCCACGAACTTAAAACTTTCTGTACCTCTCGCAAGTATTGCGGCTGTAAAACTTTCATCGGCTACGCGGGCCTTTCACTGCTCACTTTATACGCGAGCACTTTTTTTCACTGCTCGCTTGATAAGCAGCCGAAGGATAATGAAATGTGTGCGGTAAACAATGAGTGTGAGATAACCTCTCACTTTTATGTCGCTGTTGCTTGCCGTAGGTGATCACGGTTGTGCCGTACAGCTCTCCCGACGTGTTCGGCGCGATGTCCGACGTTTCGCTGCACGTGTTGGGACCTTTATTCAGAAACCGGAACTAGGCAAACTGAATGATTCTGTTCCTGGAGAAGCTCTCAGGCCACGGAGCAAAACGTCGGACACTGTATGGAACAACAGCACGTGGTTTAAGCATAGGTGCTATTATGTTGTCTTACAGTTTCCCCTGCATTCTTGAGCTTCTGGTTTATTTTTTAATTCAAATTTTTTTTCAAAATTGCAACCAGCCCTGTGTTGTGAGAAGTTGTGGAGTTTGTTTGGCAGGTACAGAGGCCTGTGTGAAATACTATGTTTTGTGAGCCGGGCATTTGGATGTTATAAAGTACTGGCTTGTTTATTATTCATAAAAGTGGCGCAAAGTGCCTGGAAGGTTTCAAAAGCAAGTGAGCAGAAATGAGTGAAAATATTTACCATTTTATTATGCGTTTGAAATATCGTTCTTTAGAGGTAGGACGTGTTTAATAAATAAAGCCTAATTTTATTATTTTGCCCCGAGGTGCCCACTGACCACATGCACCCGCAAACTATAACGTCTGTTGGAGAAGCAGGCTTGCTTCGTTCATTAATTGCCGCCTTTTATGCGATGTATAAACACGCCAATGTGGCGGCGGCCGCGTGTTTTTCTGCACGTGTTTGCTTGCTCAACCACCGCGGGTTCGCGGTCTAAGCTCGAGCAGCACCGCAGTGTCGATCCTCGACGCTTGATGTCGGCAACCAGATGGCCTTCTGGGTAATGGCGCTCGTTGCTTTTGTCAGTTTGCCGGGGTTTGATGTTGCGCATCAACAAAAACACTTCGGAGCCCGGGGCCTCATGCACTGTGAACCTCCGGTAAGCTGAGTTTAATTTCTGGCCATGGCTAATGTCGGTGGCGAGTGATTTGTAAACTTTCAGCAACCCACACCGACCAGCATAGTGAAGTATGGCGAATGAAACCCCATGACCCGCACGGCGTGAGGAAGACACTCATCCAGCAGTGGAGAGACAAAACGGCCATACACGCACCTAGTATGCCAGTATAGTGTTAAATACGTTCCAGCCGTTCTCAGTACGCTTTTAGAAGAAGGCTTTGCTATGTGGCTATGGGTTTTTTTTTACCATACTTCACTACATTTGTAAGTGTGAGTTGGTGGAGGGGTTGCGGTTGTGTGGAGGGGGGGCGGGGTAGGACGGGTTTTGATTTCACCTGCCACTGATGTTAACCGCGGCCGTGAATCAAACTCGGCTCACCGGGTAACGAATCGCCACGTTCTGTTTACGTGACAAACCCAACTAATTTGCTGTGTCGGGTGGTGGCGGATTTAACGACACATTTATATATTTACGCGATCTAACCCAAAAAAACCTGTATCATACAGAGCTCTTCCTCACAGATGTCCAGTATTTTAAATCACCCCCTCGCCATTTGGTTTCTCAACAACTGCGTCGATTGACCATGATAGCCGATTCGATTTGCTTGCCTCCCTGTTCGCCGACGTGCTCCTTCCATCATTCGTTCGTTCATTCGTTCCTTCCTCCCCTTCATCTGTAAACGGCGCAGATGGCCCCGAACCCGTCGCTGTGGAACCGGGACCACGATGACGTCCTCTCCACGCACTCCGGCGGAACTCCGGGGCCCTCGAGCGGCGGACTCGCCTCGCAGAGCGGCGACAACAGCAGCGAGCAAGGTGAGGCGCGCTGGCACGCGCACGGCACGCGCCCGCTGATTCACTCCTCGCTTTTAAACTATATGTATATAAAAAAAAACATACACCAGGTAAACAAGGGCGGAGCCAGGATTTTCAGCCCGGGGTGACATTCAACAATTTTTTATTTCAAGAATGATTACAGAGAGTCAGGCTGTTGAACCAGACGCCATCGGTTGGCGACAAACTCTGACAGTGCAGTTGCACGGAGTCCGCCAGACCGAGCGTCGTACACTTATACGCAGAATGTTTCAGATTTTCTATTTTTTTTTCGGGGGTGACAATTGTCTACCCTGTCACCCCCCTGGCTCCGCCCCTGCAGGTAAGGCCCACTGAGCTATGTATGGAGGTGCGGGGAGGATGCCGCTCGTTGTAGAGCTACTTTATCAGAAGCGACCTGGCCATCGCAAAACGAAGTGGCATATTGCGTGGGATTTTCTAGCAGGCAAATGTTCGAAACACGCGCTGTTTCTAAATGTGGAAGGAAATACCGGAGGACCCGGAGAAAAATCCACGCGACCGCGGGGAGAGAGAACACGCATGCTCCAGATATACAGGCGTCAGGGTCGGGATCGAACCCGCGACCTCTTGTATATCAGGCAAGGCAGCGAACATCTCGCCACCGTGGCACCCCTACTTGATACACTCTCCACAACGCTGCTCTGCTGCCTTGGAGCGAGCCCCCCAGGTCAGGTACTTCCACCCGATAGTGGCATAACCTTAGTGGTTGCAATTTCTTTAAACGTGGCCACAATACCCAGTGAGTTGCGTGCTGATAATTTGACATTAGTGGGTCATCAAGTAATTCGCTCTTAATTGCCGTGTAAATGCATTGGTACGACCGAAGTGTTGTGAAGTTAGGTGAGTACCAATTTCTGCTCTGGCTCACGAACGATAGCGATCATCGGTGTAAGGCTCTGTCTGATCACGAGGTAATAATCCCATATTATTGTACCCTACATTTCTCGAATCCCACGAGAGTGTCTATGGGAACGTAGGGAGAAATGAAGACAGAATAGGACTAGACGGACGTGGCATGCAAACCTACTCCCACAGCAGCTTTCCAGACCGTTTCCGACTGAAATAAAGTACTGGGACGACTTGTCCACATTCCTTTGATATTTTCTGGATTTTAAGAGGCGCAATTTTTTTCTCTCGCTGTTTTTTAAAAGCAAAAGTAGCGGCTGCTTTCTTATATTCCCGTAGCTGTGGTTTGTGTGCGTTTGTGTGCGCGGGCGTGCGTGCGTGTGTGCGTGTATGCGTGTGTGAGTGTATGCATGTGTGCGTGTGTGTGAGAGAAAGGTAGTGACCTGATTAGTGCGCTGCGCTACGAACCTGGCGACCCGAGTTCGATTCCCGCTCACGGCCAACGCCGGTGACGATTATCTGAACTGGTCCTGGGCCTCCCCTCGGTCGACTCAGCCTCAAATGAGTACCCGGTGCGGTGTGTAAGCATCGCCACTAGGAAGACAAAGGTGGCCGGGCGTGGTGCTGGCCGCACCGTGCCGCCCTTAATAGGTGCTCGCTAACAGTACTTTCCCCAACAGTCTGTTCAGGCTATACGGGGGATATTTGTCTTTGTGTGTGCGCGCGTGTGTGTGTGTATCCGCGTGTGTGCTTGCGTTTGTGTGTGACCAGATCTGTTTTACCTTGTTGAGGCCGGGCACAAGTTGTAACTTTCCTGGTGTGACGCGGCCTGTCAACAGCAAGCTGCACGTGTGTGCACGTTTCGGTTTTTTTTTCTTGTCGATCTACTGCTGGGCGAGGGCGTTCCCACACCAGGCGGGGTCGTGGGGGTCATTTGACTACATTTCACCGTGCTGGTCGCTGCGGGTTGGCAATGGCCGGGAAGTATAGATGTGGGAGCTTATAAGTGTAGTGCAACATTGGATTTTTGCTGCGCTTCCATTGCCATTGAGGGTGATTAGTTGTTTTTTTTATCATTATCATCATCGTCGTCATCGTCCATAATCTATCACAATGCCGGTCGAAGGACCTCGGTCCTGCGATGTAACAACACGCCTCGCGCCTGCACGCCAGCTGATTCCATCGCCCCATCTCCAAAGGGGGTAGGGGGTGTTGGAGGCATACACCTGGGGATTTTCCCTCCTTTGGCTGTTACTCCATCGTTAGTCTCGACCACCGGCCATCGTCCCTTGCCTGAGACATGTCGGGCCTCATTTTATACGCCTTAATATTTTGACTGTGAACTATTTATTAACATATTTCTCTTTTTTTATATATATATAGACGCACATTATTCTACAGCACATGGGGCAGGCTCTCATTATATCCTGGCCGGATGGAGCTACCCCATTCCGTCTCATGGGCGGCCGTGTTCATTAAACGCAAAAACTCCGAGTGTTCATCAGTGGAGTCGTAGCAGCGGCGGCAGCAGCAGCAGCAGCACGCGCGAACCGCACAGCTCCCGCTAAAAACATCTCTAGCGACCCACCAGCGGCATCAAATCATCAGGATCAGCCACGGTCAATCCACTGCTGGACGAAGGGCCTACCATCGCCCGCAGTCCTCCGATGCAACGGTCTCACGAGCACCTGCGCGCGCACTCTGATTCCTTCGATGCATACCATCGGCGGGAAGCCCTCCGGCACGCGTTCCGTCCACCTTTGGCCGCCGCTCGATTTACCGGCCATCGGCGATTGCGGTGCCTTTCGGCCTTCTGGCCACCGCCGCGTCCTGCCCGCGAGGGCCGCCCGGCTGCTGCGGCCGGCTCGAGGCGTGTACGTTTCGTGTACGTACGTTGAACTTGTTTCGCGCCACAGACAGCCGACCGTGATAATCGGAGGTGCGGGGGAAGGACAACAAACTAAACACAACAAGAAGCATTTTGATTTAAAGCTTTCGTGACAGCAGGGATTCATATTCTCGGTTCTTTCGTGACTTTACCGAAAGAACCAAGAATACAACAAGAAGCAGTTAATCCCGGATTGCACGTTACATTCCACACCCCCCCTCCCAAAAAAAAAGATAATATTTCAACAAAGAAGACATTTGACACCTTAACAAAAGACACCTAAAAAAATGCGAACTTACAGCAGTGGAGGAGGGGGGGGCGGTGCGTGGGCAGGAGGAGGGCGGTATTAAACGCTTCGGAAGTTGTGTAGTGGCCTTATCGACGTCGGAGACTGTTCTTAGAGGCAACACGTATTTATTACAAACACTTGTGTTGCAGTATCGAATCTAACACTTGAAGAGATAACGGCCTCTTCACCCGTACTCTACAGAGGGAACGGTCCCCGAGCTTTACCCTCGCTAGCTCCCTGGTTCCCTCGCACCTGGCCCTATCTCCCGAACTCTCTGACCTGGCCCAGCTCCGGCGCAGGTCCCGACCACCAGCCACACGAGCCCGGCCCTCAGAAGGACATCGGCCCTCGCGGCTCTGTATGTCGCACGCTGGCTTGCTTTGCCCGGCCCTCAAAAGGACAGCGGATCAAGGGTGTTCCAGGGCCTGGCTAGTGGGTCTTCTCTCTTCACTGGTCCTTCATCTTGCTTGAGTCGAACTCCCCCTCAGCTCTCCGGGTCCCACCTTTTATACTGTCCCTCTCTGAGTGGGGTGGGGCTGGGAGGGATCACAGCGTCCCCCACAGCCCCCCAGGGTGGTGGCCGTAGCGGACGTGGTTGTGGCCACCGCCCTACAACCGCGTGTCACCGTCCCATAACACCTCAACAGTTGCAATGCAGCCAGAACCGTCTTTATTTTTTGAATGCTATAATTAACTGCGGATGGTTATCGCAGAGCAAGAGGGGGTCAAACATTTGTCCTGCTCCAGGTTACATCCCCCCCCGTCGTATTTTCATTGTTTTAAAGTTGCCATCGGGTTTGTGGAGGCAGCCCCAGCGGCGCCCGGCGAACACGCCGCGAGGCACGGCAAGGTGACACGCTCGCCGCTCCCTCGCTCCTCACAGATGCTGCTCGGCGCCGGGGGAATTTTCGCCTGCTAAAAATATCGTCGCGATGCCCGTCTTTTTTCACCGGACGATGTCGGGACGAGAATCTGTCGGAAGCGCGTTTGATTATTTTATTTTTGCTGCCTCTACGCGGCGAGCGCCCGTGCGTTGATTTTTACCGGCAATGCCACGAAACTAAAGTTTGCCCCTTTTTTTGCATAAAGTTAGGGGGGGACTAAGATGTGGGAGATTTTGTTAAACGGTGATAGCTTGGTTTTAGACTTTATCTTTCATTTTTTAAGTCGCACCTTGCAATTGTGAGACGCGGCTGCAATTCGACATTATCAGTCATTTGCTAAATCGGCGGATTTAATGCTCACGATCTTGCATTGGTCATATTTGTCGCTTGTAAAGGATTGATATTGAGATAAATTAATTTTACGTGTGATGATGATGATGATATTGGGCTGAAGAGATGGAGATTCATGAAGGCTGCACTGTGACGTTTTGTTCTGCCGATGTGCCCCTCACACAGGCAGGGTATGTTTGTTTGCACCTTTGTGCGTGGCTGTGTATGTGTGTGTGTGAATGGGTGCGGGTGTGTTTGTCTGTGTGTGCACTTGTGTGGAGCGGTGGTGCAGTGGTTAGGGCACTGCGCTATGAACCTGGCAACCCGAGTTCGATTCCCGCTCACGGCCAATACCAGTCATGAATATCTGGGCCTCCCCTAGGTCGACTCAGCCTCAAATGAGTACCCGGTGCGGTGTGTAAACATCACCACTGGGGAGACAAAGGCGGTCAGGCGTGGTGCTGGCCACCCACTGCTCGCTAACAGCACTTGGCCCAACAGTGTGATCTGGCTATACGGGGGGAACATTGTCTTTGTTTTTTGTATGTGTGGGTGGGTGTGTGCGTGTGCGTGCGCACTTGCGTGTGGACTTGCCCCAGTAGAAAGGCTAAATGGGAATCTGGTGTCTGTGTGTGAGAGAGTATGACTGCGTGGGTGTGTGTCCACGTGTGTGCGTATTTGCATTTGCACAATGGTTTACACCGCTGCGCTATGAACCCGGCGA